GGTCTGTCTGCACTTTCAGACAGCCCTATATGACTTCATTTCACACCCTAGGTACGTAAAAACACCCTTAGTTTCATCTCATAAACACACTACTTCAGTGGGCTACAGTGCTTCCCTTGCATTAGTTCAGACACCCTGGACTTAGAGGACCCTACTCAAGATCATAAATCTGCCTTGGAGCACAGGCATACAGCAGAGGAGACCAAAGTCTGAAAAGTGGACACATCTAGGCCACACTGCTCGGTCCATGTACATTTAGCTCCTGTTCGATTCTTCCTCAGCCATTCTTTCCCCACACTTGCTGCAGATACTAGCCCTAGAAATTTATTTCAAATGGATAAAGAAATATGTGAAAGATGGATACGTAATTCAATACACATCCTTCCAAGGTCTTATGTGAGAACAGAGATGATCTATAATTCAAATATCTCTCATTCGCTATCATTTCTTCAAGCTGATATCTCAGAGAAGATATGTCCCTTGAATCGTAATCCGAAACCCAATAAATGCAAGCTCTTTCAGAGGCAATTCTAACACTGCACATCCTTCACTGATAATGCCCATCCAAACCAGCAAGGAAATCTAAATCTAAGGCATTTATGACCACCAGGGAAAACATCTAAGTAACTACGATGTATCATGGGAGAAAATTATCTAGGTATACAGAACCTGAGATATAGAGCATAAATTTACCTGAAAATTATTTGCCAGTGCAGCTGCTAGGAACATATAATAATGTTTCTTGCTGCCACTGGCTAGCAGAAGACTAGTCACATCCAAGTCATTTGCTTCAGGGTGTTCCTTTAAAAGTAATGCAAACAAGAGTTCATTGCAGCCATCTCATCTAGAAATAACAAAAGCATGGCTTCTGTGGTGAGGAATGAGGAATAAACAAAAGATCAGAGGCTGACAAATCAAGTTCATGGGAACAAGAACTCAGGGCCATAGACAATTACATACTTAATATTTTCTTCTAATTTAATGATTAATGGAAGTGGCCTGTACTTAGACCTAAGAATCCTTTGTTAAGCTGACTCAGACAGTACTCGGATTGTCAAGCTGACTGGACAGTGCTATCAACAACATCCAAACAGCATTAGTACCAGCAAGGCTGCTGTTCCCTCTTCAGGATTATAAGAGAATATATATATTATTTTTTTTTTTAAAGAAAGTGATACACTAGCCAGGTGCTGGTTATTGCTAATGCAGCATTGCATAGCAACCATAAAATAATTAATTAGTAATTATTTAAGACTCATTAGCAAGCAACAAATACCCAGACAGATACAAACCCACTGAAATCCATGAAAATCCTAATTTAAGTTGATGCCTCAGAATTGAGCCTTAGTGAAATAAATTTACACTAGGGAACAGAGAGGGCAGTGACAGATGTCCAATCACATGAAATGATTTGAAGTTACCACTCCAGTCGTGTATTTTGCACCTCTGCCAGAGACTAGAACAGCAAACAAAACAGATACCTGCACTTACTTCCTCTGGTTTTGAGCAGCCTTTCAACAAAAGAAGCTGTGAGAATTAATACATTCTGCCCTACATGCTCACATCTGACTGCTGTCAAACTTTTCAGCTACACAACATATTCTCTTAAGTGGACAATACAGGCCTAAATTTAAATTAGTTAAAACCCATATTCCCTGCAGTTTAAGTTAAATTGACAGGTTTTGCACAGGAACAGACAAAGAGCATGTAAAAGCTCCATTTCAATACACATCTTTACATTATTTGACTTTTCTACAACTTCTTACCACACTAGATAGACACAGATTTTGTGAATAAAGTGTTTAGGAGTATAAATCAAATTTTCAAAGTTACGAAAGATTAAACTGCAACTCTCTGTGCCAGGTTTGGGCCTAGGACTGGAAACCCAGGGTATTCTTTCACTAAGTCCTCTGAACAGCTACCTGAGAGGACACATAGCACATGGTGTTGTGCGCAACCTTTCAGAAATACTACTGAAGAAAAAAGAAGATATGCTGGTGATTGCATGGGCTGTAATGCTTTCCCTTGAGAAACATGGCCTAAGCTCTTTCTTCAGACTGAGAGATCATTATATCCCTGTTCCTGGGAACTGACAGGCTATTCCATCTTCATCAAGCCACTCTGTCTTGAAGCCGGCTCATTGCTGAAAAGAATTCAAGATTTTGATAGTCGGGCTCAAAGAGACAGAAAGAATATAAGAGTGTGCTTTTACGACAAATTATTCTGCAGAGATACTAGCACTGCTCTGGAAGTGTGTTTCAGTGCTCTACGTCAAGGGGTGGAATGGAGCTAAGCCTGATACAGTCCAAATAAACATGGGCACCACTTACCCTCCGCAAATTATTAGAGAACAAGTCTCTTCTGACAGATGTAATTGCGCTCTACAGAGCAGCAGCTGGACTAAATGACTGAAGGGCAATGGAAAGGACGTACCATGCACATGAAGCCTAAAACTATACTCACCTTATAAATCCGGCTGAGATGAATTTGCTAGTAAGAGCTACAGGAACTGTATTCAGCTTGAAGTTCCACACTTCTTCTGGGACATAAAAAACATGGAGCTCCACCAACTAAATAAAGAACAGATGATCATAACTGTAGATATATTATAATCCTCTTCCTATATGCTTTGCTTACCTGGACTTTCAATTTCTGGAGGCAGGAATGGTTTCTTTGATGTTAGCACATGAAGTAGAAGAGTGAGGCTCTATCTGACAGTAATGACTTGATAGTGAGAACAGTGATGAATAGAGAAATTTGTGATTGAATGCCAGCTGACAGCATCAAAATAAGTCACATTAGAACAAGCTCAACAATGGAAATGAGGGAAAAGAGAGCTCGTGCTACTTTTGTATGTCACTGTGACAGCAGTGGACAGAGCTTACCAAAACCACTTGATACTCTGGAGCGTGTCATGTTTACAAGAATACTTCAGCTGAAATACTACCTTTGTTCATCTCATAAAAAATGCAAAGCCCTGAAAGCTTGATCCAAACAGCATTACAACTTAATCGGGCTAGCAAGAAAAAAATTTTTAAATATTTCTGACAGTTGTTAATAATATTAGCTACCTAGGAAGCGTAACAATGCTCCTGGCAGTGTCTGCAAAGAGAACAACTAACCCTGCTCTGAATGAGGTTCACTTAAATTGTGTTCAACCATGTGGTAGTTGTGGGATTGTTAATGTCTAAGTCTTGATATTTTTAGTGAGAATCCAATGGTATTGACAAGGATGATACACTTCCCTATAACTAGAAGCCATACAAATAAGCTATATTAAATATTTCTGCAATTGTTGAGTTACTAAATATAAACTAGAAGAGAATGCTTTCTATACATACTATGTTAAAAGCACAGGGGTTTTCCTACCAGGTCTTCTAGAAATGGTGCACTGTCACTTATTTTAGTATTTTTTATTTGTGAAATCTAAAAAATCTCTATGAAAAAGTACAAAAACTCTCACCTGTGATGTCTGAGGTCTCATTTGACTGAACAGCATATCAGTGCCTGTACTTGATCACAACAAATGCCAGGTGGGCTCTCTAATCTTCTTTTTGATCGAAACATTCTTTAAGAATGAGTTTCATGTTAATCTGTTACGAGAGAAGTTACTCCATTAATATATTTTATTTTCATTTACTGTTCTTCTTTCCATTTCTGAAAATGAAAAAGTTGCTTCTGTGCTGAGGCAGAAAGCTTCCTGCTAACTGTAGACAAACAGCCTGCACCACACCTTCTACACAAGTAAGTATCACCTAAGTAACCAGGGGAATTGCTAAATCACAGCCCTGCAGCTTTGAGAGATCTGCCCTGGAGTATTTCCTCTTAACATTTTCTCCCCTTTCATAAAAATACTTCAGTTGTATATAATTTTCTACCCAATTGTACTGTCTTCCTAAAGACACAGACATAAATCTCCACAAAATGATTATTGCAGGGCCCGGGTTTATCTCTGATAAAGGGACAGTTATTGTGAACTGCAGTCAAGCCACATACACTGTGCATCGCACCGGCCAAAACGTATTCCAAGGAAACCTGACAGTGCCAGGCAACTGTCAGGAAAGTCCTTTCATAAACTATAAACCACAGTTCTGCCCTAACCTTGTTACGACTTTCCTCAGTGCTCTCCCTTTGAAGGCTCTTCCAGCACCTCAGAGGCTACAAAATTCCTGATTTTCAGCCTGCTGAAACCCTCCCTGTTCTCCTGATCATCTTGGCAGCTCTCCCTTGTACCTTTGCTACTTCGAATTCACCTGTTCTCGAGCACATGTGACCAGGCCTTCCAGGTCTTGCCTTGGCTCCGTGAGATGGAATTAACGTTTCCTTGTGTCAGAGGGAAGCACCTATTTAAGAGCCCGTGTCTTTACATGCCTCTTGACAATTATACTGCCACAAGCTCTCATGAATGACCTGACTGTAACATCCCATCACTTCTCCAGTTACTCCCAACAAAAGGCACAGCAAGTTACAGCACAAGTTCTTCCCCTTTGTCTCTGTATATATATGCAAAATGTTGCACTTTGCATTACAACATGCCACCCTGTGCCATTATTATTCCAGGCTTCACGGTCACCCACTAACAGTTTCTGCAGTAAACACCCACCTCCCCTAGACTGTAGTCAAGACCCAAGCACGCTGGCAAGAGCAATCAGTTCATTACATCTCAAAACAAGCTCCAAACCAGTAACTCACCGGATATTATCACCAAGGTTTGCCACTTTGGTCTATAATATTGTCTTTTCTTTTAATCCACTTTATAGATAAATTGAGAAGAGGAGGAGGGGGAATCAGCGTGTTTGCGGACAGTTCCCCCTTCCCGGGCATACAGAGCCCGCAGGCAAACAGCCACGAACCACAACCACCGGTAAGAACTACGGGCCGCGGGCCGCCCCTCGGGGCTCCCCTCCGGGGCTGGGGCTGCCACTCGCCCCTCGGGGGCCCGCCACCGCCGGGACCGGGACCGGGGCCGGGGCCGGGACCGGGACCGGGACCGGAGCCGCCCCCGCTGCCCGCCCGCGGCCCCGCAGCGCCCCCGGCGGCGGCGAGCCCGGCCCCGGCCCCGGCCCCGGCGGCGGTTGCGCAGGCGCGGCCGTGCCGGAGAGTTTGGGACGCGCCGGGAAGTTGGGGCTGGGTGTGCCGCCGCCGCTCCCACCATGTCGGGCTCCTCCAACGTGGCGGCCATGAAGAAGGTGGTGCAGCAGCTGCGCCTGGAGGCCAGCGTGACTCGCGTGAAGGTGAGAAGCGGAGCCGGGACGGGACGGGACGGGGCGGACGCGCCGCCATTACACCGCCCCGGGGGCCGCGCTCCGGCCGGGGCAGCCGAGCTCCGACCCGCCCCGCCCCGCCGACCCCCGTGGCGGCGGCGCCCCGCTCCCGGGCTTCAGCCCCGCGGCTCCCTCGGGCCGCCCCAGCCCCGGGGCGGCTGCGCAGCCGCCTCCCCTCCCGCCGCCGCCTCCCCGCGGCTCGGCTCGGCCCGGCCCGGCCCGGCGCGCCCTCCGGCTTCCTGCAGCCTCTGGGGGATCCCCGGGGGCCGCTCTCCGGCCCAAGCGCTTCTCCGGGGGGTGGGCGCGCCCCGCTCCCCCCTTTCATTTCCTTATCCTGCGGAGTGACTTCTTCCGTCGGACGCCGGTGAGGAGGGCAGCTTGAGTCGGGGTTTACAACAGGCTGGCCTGGCCCCGACTCTCTAAAATGGAGACTTCGCTGCAAGGCATGCTAACTGCGTTTAACTTGGGCATTTTCGGGGGCAGACTGGGCCCTGTCAAATCAGAGGAGCTCTGGGCAAACTGCAAATACGAGATACCAGTGAAGATGCCACCTTCTGAAACTTTGATCGTTCTTTTTATATAAGTTCAGAGCTACAGCAAAGCAAGACAGAATTTTTTCACTGTTCTGTTTTTAGGTAGGTACAGCCTACTAAAAAACCCCATATGCTGCCTCCTCAGAAGGATGGCTTTCTAAGGGAGGATAAAATGCCAGTTCAGTCAAGTAGAGCATCTTAAAACTATAGGCTGTATTTTTAGACAATTTACGCTAGAACAAAGATACTAATATATTTAATAAAGCCATCTCCAAGATGTTGCTCATCTTTCACCCTTTTACACAGGAAAATTTTCCAAATTAATTCTTACTCTAATAATGCACAACTTTTTGTGTTTAAGAAGCCAATTATGATGAAACTTTTGTATAAAATCTATGTAGGCTATATTGCAGAATTATTTAGCAGTATTATGTATACTTTTTGATGTAGTTACATCCTCAGTAAAGAGTGTTCAGTGAATTCTAATGCCAACTTCTGTTATGACTAGGTTTCCCAGGCTGCAGCAGACTTGAAGCAATTCTGCCTGCAGAATGCACAACACGATCCCCTACTGACAGGAGTATCATCAAGTACAAACCCATTCAGACCCCAGAAAGTTTGTTCATTTTTGTAATTATGTGAACTACTTCGGTTATCTTTCAGTGGTAAGTTCTTGAAATGAGATTCATAAACTTCTGTCATTAAAAATTGCTGGCTTTAAATGAGACTGCCTGCATTACAAATATTCAGAAGAGGCAGCTGCTGTTGGTCTAGATCCCCATTTTAGACTCCTCTTCCCCCATACTGGTTGTGGATCTGTACTGGACATGTTAAGTATTACACGTAGCACTTAGCTGTTGAAGAGCTTCCACCAGTTTCTGTTTCTGCAGCAAAATAGTAGTGAAGCCAACTACTACTGAGCTGCTATTTGGACTAACCTGGTTGTATAGTAATTCTGCTGTATCTCCCTTCCTTCTATGTAAGGGTACTATTTCCCTTTTCTCACATAGGATGACCTGCCTGACAGCACACATAGTGAATCCTGATTGTGGCAGATAAAGCAGACTTTAATTCTTAAACTTTTAAACAGCACTTCCAAGGATAGGTTAGTGGTGATCTCCAGGAAGAGCACTGTCCATTACAGGACATGCCCTTTAAGCCAAAAGAAAAAAAGTATGTACTCCAAGAATTGTATCAAGGCCCATACTCCACTCAAATAAGATACCGCATGGGTAGCAGTTTAAGTCATGATAATTTGATATTTTGCCCACAGTAAATACATGATAATTCTACTGTCTCCCTCTTTCCCACTGCCTCTTGACTTGGGGGCGAGAGTATGAACATTATTTCGAAGCACCTGATACGCAGTTAACCATAGTCCATGGTTTTTGTAGCTGACTTACATCACCCAAAGAACTGTAGTTTGCAAGATTTAAGTTGTGTCATTTAGGCAGCTTTATAGGAACATGACCACAGAGTTGTTTAAATTGTTCTTTAAAATTGTTCTCCCCTCAAGCAGACTGTAGAAAGCTTCCTAAAAGTTTATAAACAAGGTGGTTCGTGCTAGTAAAGACCAGAGTAATAGCAGTATAGATATTGATGCTTAACTGTTTTTGTTAAGCACTTCCATCCATTATTTTGAGCAATGGATTGCAGTAGTGTAACTGAAATGTGCTTTAGAGTCCTTGTAAATTTTAAAGTTACTCCTGTCATTAATTTTATCAACTATTCTTATTTAGAAGATTTTATTCTTGGACACGGACTTGTGTTCATGCTACTGTAGCTTCAGCTTTAAGCAGTAATTAAAGGAAGAAATCAGATAACGTGTAAGCATTATAGACCGATAACCTCTAAAAAGCCAAATAAACTGCAGTTTAATCAGTGGCACATACAGTTTCCCACTGAGGTTTGCCAAAGTCTAGTAACTCCTGGGTGTATATGTCAGGAAATGTTTCCTCTCTCACACACGTGTTGCATACACAGGGCATAAAAGACATAATACTTTCTCAATTACAGCCCTTATCTTCCCCCTTTCTGATTTTGGAATGGAGCACTTCTTTCTGGTGCTGTTAGAGGCTAAATTCATTAGAACAGCAGTTTTAGTTATACTACCTATATGGAAAATGTCTTTCCTTCACTGTATCTCTTGCAAGCACTTCCTCAAAATAGGTGATGTCTTAGTTGTAATCCTGGTGTTTTCACAGCGAGCCAATAGAATTCACACTTGCAGAGTCAGCACCATCTCTGTGACAAGGAAGTGAAATTTGTCAGTTACACAGACTCCCCTGCTTTTCAAAGGCAAAGTAGATGCCTGGTATTTCTGTAGGCACCAAGTGACTGGGAACAATTTTTTCTGTCCTTCCACTCTGCAATTTGGATTCTAGGGGACTTTAAGCTTCAGTTCTTTAGTAACAGCTTTGATTATCTTCTTGTACCCCTGGAGAAAGCTTCATGTTTTTAAGTTTATAAAATAAACTAATACTTTTACAAAACAGCTGTGGAAAAGAGGATTTTTTTTTTTTGCTCAATAGTTGTCTAGGGCATACTCTGAAGGTACATGTCCTTAGACAGAGTTGCTACATTTAGCATTGGTACTTTACTAACTACATTTTGGTTTTGTTTTTCAGATCTTCTAGCATCTTTTCCTAGCTGCTGATGTGTGTATGGGCAGAGTGCCTCAAGGAGTGGCCTGGTTTGAAGTCTGTACAAAAGCTTAGCTTTCATGTGCCAAATCTAATTGTAAAATTGCTACTGTCGTCAAACCTCTTACCATCTACCTCTCCAAATGAACTGTATGCTAGTTACAATACTTCTGTTTCATAAGGGAATCAGTTTTTTATGCCAAGCGAAAAATAAAAGTGTCTTGACTTAGTCTGGTCTTAAAATTACTGTAACAAGTTGATTAACTTTTGGATATGTTGACACCTCACCAGTTACTGCCTCATTCTGCGCTGCTGTGGGTTTGCCTGGGGCTGACAGTCTTACAGAACAAGGAAGCCTCCTCAGTACTGTACTGAGAAACATAACAGAAATAGAACACAAAATTTTTGGCTGTTAGTTTGTAATTCAACTACACAGCTGTCCTGTATCATAGACATCAAATAAAGACAGAGTAACTTAATTATTCTTTATCTTAAGGAGTAATTCTACCCTAGCAGATGACTTACTCTAGGAGCCATCTTACCCTCTAGGTATATGTAAGAAAGCACTTCTTGTAGCTGCCTATGAAAATAAAATAATCCAAAGAAAACTTAGCTTTTTAGCTGCCAGTAAACGTGAAACTTCAGGCAGAACACACCAACACTAGTTATGAGACTGAAGCACTTTTAAGATTTGGATGGGAAAAAACCTGCTCAGAAACCTCGCATGTTCAACTGAACAGCATTTTTAGATAAGATAGCTTTAAGTACTTCCTATAAGCTGGTCTTACAAATTCCTTCCCACTGGTGCTTATTTATTTTTATATACAAATATATCAGCTGCTTTGGGTATATAGTTCTTCTGAATATGACATTTACAGAAGAGATACCTGTAGGAGTCAAGCACAGTATTTTTGTAACTTCAGCAACATGGCTACTTTATGCAAGACATTAATGAAATAAAATACCACAGACTTCCTGGATTGCATACAGCCTTCTCAATGTTCTCTTGATAGACCATTTTTGGAAAGCTATCACCATACTGTCAGGAAACAGCATACTGTAAGTTAAAAAGGGGTTTAAAATATTTATGTCTTACCTCATTAATGGAAGACATCTGGGTTTAGCTGCTTTACAGAAAAAAAAAAAAAAGCAGCTGTATAACTAGAATACTTTATTTTGAGAATATCTTTAACCAAAATATTTACTGTCTTTGATGTTGCAAAGTATAATTTATCTCTACAGCACAGCAGCAGTCATGGCAAATCTTTAGTGATGGCTAAATTATAGGCTGCTCTGACATTGCCAGAGTTTTTCCTGTTAAACTGGAAAAAAGTCACTGTCCTTGTCATGTTGGATTTGGCTACAAACACAGGATCTACTTGTGTCCTACTTGATCTGCTCCTGTAGAAAGTTTCAATGCAGTTTGTCCTTCTGCTGACAGATACTGTTCAGTATCATTATCATTAGTTGGGAGTCTGAGGTAATCCACAGTTCAAAGCAGCTGTATTTCTGTCGATTGGCAAATAGCTGGCCCTTATAAGTGAAATTTTCTCCTACTTGTATCCATTTCTCGGCGCTGAAATTTAAAAGAAGAGTTATTAAACAGCAAGTTCATGCAACAGGATACAAACATGGATGACCACTCCAGTTTACAGTGGGGTAGGCAGTGAAATGTGTCACAGTTACAGTGGAGTCTCTATAGTCAGCTTTTCAAGACTAACAAGGGAGAAGAATTAGAGATTAGTGATTTAAAACTAAAGAATATGTAGCAGCTCTCTGTCTACTGACAGCAGAGAAAGTATCTTTAAAACCAACAAGATTATCCGTTTCATGGACTACACAAGGAATTTTCCTTCCAGTATAGCTTGGATATTCACTTCTAAGTTTTGCCACTCAACTGCAATTCCATGGTAAAAATGACTGGAAAAGTAATCGATCATTGCCTAGCGTAATACTTGAATTTCACTTGAAGGTGTGCAGAGGACAGTGTTACCTTCCATTCACTATTAAGAAGTGACATTTATGTAAACAGCTTAAACATTTTTACATTATGGTTCTTGCACTCACCTTGCACAAAAATAGCTCTAGTCAAGTTTACTAGGCTTCCAATAACAGTTTATACCAGGGGAGGATTTGTCACATTTGTTTATATCTGTATATCTTAAAGAAATTACACGCTGCAAATAAGTAGTCCTGATATATTGATATGCATCATCCTTGCTATTTTTATTTTTGAATTCCGATATAGCAGAATGCTTCTACTTTGCATTCTCAAAATATATCCCTAAATATTTCAGTGAAGCACTTCTGTATTGAGAACTGCATTTATATCGCTTTTTTGGCCCAAGATTTGTGGTTCCATTTCATGTTGGACTATTCTCATTAGACATACCTTATGAATCCATTCATATTCTCCGAATTTGGAATCAAAGGTTCCTTTTTGAAGAGACCTCAGCTTTAATGTAAAACGTGGCCCAAGTTCTTGAATTCCTACTTTTTTTTCACTCTTGAAGATGTATCTTGGGGAAGAAAAAAATAAAAATTAGGAAGTTAAGTTACAAGAACATTCTCTCTCACTTGTGAGTTTTGTGGAAAATGTCACCTGTGGAATCTGAAAAAGATGTAGTCTCGCTGGTTGTGAAATGTAGCTACTTGTCTTCCAATGAACTGAGGATCATGTGGGAACAGAGAAGCAAACATGCGACCAACAGAATGGCCCAGTCGTGTTGTAAAATTATTCAGGATTACTTCAGGTACGTGTCCTGTGGGCTCTTTGCCTTTTCGCTGAAATGAAAGTAACAGTTAAGAATGCAAAGAATAGATGAAATGCAAAAGGATTTTAATACATTATCAAAGAAGATTTTGAAATAAAATAGGGGGAGGACAACCAGGGCCAACTTCTTGTAACAGGACTGGTAACATACTCTAAGCATTTTTTCAAACACAACCTAGGTTCACATACAGGTAAATGAGCAGCTGGTAACATAAGGATCTTTGGTTCAACAATATAAATGGAATGAAAAAGCAGAAACAAATTTCCCATTTCCTCTCTCCTGCACCAACTTCCACTCTTGGCAGCACCCGTTACAGCAAACAATGCAATCTAGCTATCACAGGAGTCTTCTCTCTGTATTAATACCAACTGAGAGAATATGGGGCTAAGAGTATATGGAATTCTTCTTTAACAAGAACAGATGAAGTTTAAAAATTTCTTCTTTCAAGAGAAAAAAATACTTTACTGCAAATTATTTAGGGCTAAATAAGTAATACTACAGAAGAGGTGACAGGGCTGTAAGACCAACTAGGTTTTATTCAAGACTAGGAAATATATGTGTTGAAATTTTTTATACTGCTGATTTTTATATACTGTGATGTGCGTATACTATACATTGGGTATTCCCTGTTGGTGTAGATCATCAGCTGCTATCTATTGGCACAACTAAAAATGCTTGGCAGTTAAAGAAATTCAGCAAAACACTATGAAAATGGAAATATGCTTTTTTATAGAAGTAGAATATACTAGTTCTTGGCCTCCTGTTAGCTTATGAAAAAAACCACCTTTACAAGATCAGCTGAATCATACCAAAGTGCAACCAGTTTTGACAGTTCAAGTAGACTGAACATATTTATCATTAAACAGACTACCCTTTTTTCCTTTTTTCCACCCCCCCCCCTTTGTTGGAGTCTCACCTTTATTTCTTTACGCAAACGGACACTACTCATTCTAAAATGAGCAGTTGGACCATCAGGCAGATGACTTAAAACAAGACCATCTGTTCACAGAGTTAAAAAAAAGAGGCTGGTAAAATTCAATATGTAATTTACAGAGGAACATTTTCTGCGAAATGCAGTATTACATTAGAGTATTATACCTGTAACGTATGCCAGATTTACAAGGTTTCATTATACTTTTGAGCATACGTTAACTAGTTAACTGGAGCTCTGAAGTAAGCCCATTAAATTTTGTTTCAACAGCTAACCAGAGTCATCTTCTATTGCTTCCTCACTTATTAATTAGTAATGTTTTATCTAGTCAGCAAAACTAAATGGAACTTCCCGGTCAGAAAAACTTGTCAAGTAATCAAACTGTTAAACTTACTGAAATAATAACAATGTTTATCCATGCATTACAAACTAAAAGCCAACACACTTTCTTTAATAATTCCAAAGTTCCATTAGCCATCAGATATTTAAGTTGGTGCAGTGATCTCTAACTCTGTTGTTACACTGTAAGCTGCACAGTGAAGAGAAAAAAATCCTCAATAAAGTAGGTCTTTGATGCACACTATAGAATTATTTTCTTTCCCTAATAGGCCCAGAGCTAGTATATCTATTTTAATAAATACATAAAAGGATACTTGGTATTTTGCGATCCTCATTAATGACGATTAAATCTGTGAAGTCCCTTGCAATACACTGTGGAATAATTCTTTTCAAGGCCAGTCCTCTTCGATAGTAGACATGCGAGTTAGGTATAACAGTAGACAGTTGTTCACAGAATCTCACTGTTCTCTGCAAAACATGTTAAGTTGTAATGTGGTAAATACAGTGCCAAATTAAAATATTAGTGGAATGGAGGATTGCTTGTTCCAACTGCCCTCCCTGATGATATATTACTTACAGTATCTCTATAAATATTTGAAGACAAGCTATTAAATTACTTCAGTTAGTGGAAAAAACAAATTATTTAGAGTAAAGACTGCAGCACACCAGGGACGTTTGTTTTTTTTTTTTTTTAAAGGATTTTTTTCCTCATAGAAAAGCAGGAAAATTCCAAAAGCATCATCTCCAAACTAATTTTTTAATAAAAACATCAGTTTACCAAAAGTTCGTAACATTTCAAAATCCAATATAGCTATGACTTCAGTTACTAATGTCCGAGTTTCCAGATAAACTGTTTGTGTTAAACTTTTTTCCTATTTTTAAAACCACTTTTTTTACAGTTTTCATAAATGTCAGTAATCTCCCCAATTAGGTAATGCAGATCATTTACATACAGAAACATATCCATGAGGTTGTCTTTTGTTATGAAGGAAAACCTTGGTATCTTATAACCAACTGATTGCTTAGAACTCTCCAAGTCAAACATGCATACCCCACGAGGTCTGTCTGATGTTGTAATAAGAATCTTGGGAACCGTCTGTCTGTTGAAGTATGGTGCAAATTCATCAGTTGCTTCATCAAAAGCAACCTGGAAGAACAGAAGTCTTGTAAATCCACCACATATGAAATAACGGAAGTACAGTTGTTCAATCTGATCTAAATTCTGATGAAATTGAATGTAGGGGGAAAAATTTCAATTCACAAGTTATATTCTATAATTAATCATCGCAATCATGTGATTTTTACATTTTTATCAATCTAGTGTGATGACCATTGGCAGGTTTTACCATCAATAACAGTAATGCAAAAGGCAATTATCCAATGCAGAGAATGAAAGAATGGCACCGCCTCAGTGACCCATCACGTGTAAAAAGAGTTCACCACTGTAACAGGAAAGGGGTGAATGTTAAGTTTCATCAATCCATTTTATGCTCCTTCTTGGAAAAAAAAATGGTTAACTCAATAGAATATGCAGAAATTAAGCAGTTACCTCTTCATCATTGGGATCTACAGTTGTTTCATCATACTCTCTCTGATTTTCAATAGTCTTTGGTATGGCTTTTGGAGGTGCCTAAAATAAATAAGTTTACTAACATAACACATTAATATATTTAAGTGTATTGCAAAAAACACATTCATACTACCATGACATTACATATATTTCTACACAGAATTTGAAGTATTATTTATCTTATACCAGCTTTTAAAAAAGTTACAATGTTGACTTAATTAAAAATATGCATTGGGACACCAGAGAGCATCACATAGTGGAAAAGCGTCGCTAGAACAGTGACACTTCTTAATTTCAGTGTAATTAAGAAATGGGGTTCCAAAACAATAAAAAAGAGGGGAACTTTCTATCTACTTTTCTTCTCTCCCATGGAAAAAAAAAAGCTCTGCTTTCAACCACAATACAGTTTAGCCTTGGCATGTACTATTTAACAATTAATAACCTATAACGTTTACCCTGTTTACTTACACTACTCTTGTGAGATTACAATAATACAGGAATTTACAACTGACTATCTTCAAATGCCCAAATGCTTCTGAAGTAGCTCAGGACAAGAAGCAAAGCCCTTGTTCGTGGCTTGGAAACAAGCAGGCAACTGGTCTGGGCAGGGTTTGGTCAGATCTGCTTGTTTTAATTTATATGGAAGTTACTTACTAGAGTACAATTCCAAATAACGCCAACACAACGCCACGGCAGTTACGCCGGCCAGAGGCGGCTTTTCGGGCAGGGCCTGCTTTCGCGCTGCTCTCAGCCCCAGGGGGACGCTGCCCGGGGGCAGCACCGCAGGGCAGCGCTGCAGCCAGGCCCCCGCCGCCGCTCCCCGCGCTGGCGTCTGCGGGAAACCCGCCTCCCCGGGGCGGGGCGGGGCAGCGCCCGCCGCACCGGGCCGGCCCGGGCCGCCGAGCGCGAGGCCGCGGCCACAGTTCAGCTGCTCCCCGTGGGCGGCGGGGGCCCTTACTTTGTATCCGAGGGCTTCTCGCTCCTTCCTCCGCTTCTTCTTGGCGGCCAGTTTCTCCTAGTGACAGAGGGACAGCGACCCGTTAACCAGACCCGCCGCCCGGCCGGGGCCTCCGCCGCCCTCCCTTACCGGGCCCGCCCCACCTTCCTCTGCTGCTGCTTCCAGCGCAGGAACATGAAGTGCCGCCGCTGCTTGTTCCTGATCTCGGACACGCTAAAGGTCGGCGGAAAAAGGACCCGCTGCGGGGCCGGCGGCCCACCGCTCTCGGAGCCCGCCATGCTGCCTTCCCCCTGACCTCTGCCCTCCCGCCGCCAGCGCGCGGCTCACGCCTGCGCCGGGAGCCGCCCTCCCGCCGCGCATGCGCGCAGGGGGCGGAGGAGCTAGCGGGGGCTGTAGGGCCGGGGCCGGGGCCGGGCGGTGGCGGGGTGACCGGCTGCTCCTGCCCGGCCCTTCTGCAGCGAGCCACGGGAGGGCCCAGCCCCGTCCCCCCGCGGCGGCGGGCGGGCAGCGCGCCACTCGCACAGCCTGTTCCTTAGGCGCGGGTACCTGCAGAGTGGCCCAGCTGATCGCTCAGCAAACCTGGAGATGAGGGGGGGAGTTAATACGGGTTATTACTGCGGTGTGACCCAGGATCAGGGTTAACGACATCAACGCGGGAAACTTTGAACAAACCTGGCGCGGATAGGTTTGCGTAAATGATGGTGACTCAATGGTGTTTGCCCACGCGCGCGTGTCCCATCCGCACGTTTGCTCACAGCGAGTTAAGTTGTGGGCAGCATCAGCTTGTAAGGAACCATAGGGCTTTCTGATGGTAGTGTGCCCCAAAATCATCTTTATTCCATTACTGCCTGTTAAAACAGCATTAAAATGAGATGAGAACCCCTAGACCCCTACAACTAATTAAAGGGATTTAATTCATGTTAAAAAGTGAGGTTTTCTGTTCCTGAGCTGATTTTCCAGCTTAGAGGTGTGCAAGTGTTGCTGCATAGTGAAGACTATGCTCTGTTTGGGGGGCCTGGGCTAAATTAGAGGCATTTTTAATCTCAGACTGCAAAATTCTGAGCCTCAGCGGGACTGATTAGTTCTGCTTTTGCCAAGGATTGTCTCAAAGCTTGGAATATGTCTGTTAATTTTACATACATACACAATTTTGCATTACTTTCTCCTACTAGAAAAAAGAAATCTGTACATAACATAAATACAAAACATAATAATGCATGAAGATAATGGGAAAAGATCTAGAAATAACCTGAACTAGACAATGTCTCAAACCTGCTTATGTCCTATTAACAAATGTAACTCTGTAACTCAACCTGCTTCACTGAGGTTATTTCTACTTAACACAGATGTCTATGAAAGATCAAAGGCCTCATTATGCACAACCCCATATTTTTCTGGCCTTGCTCCCATTTTTGTCAAGAGAAAATATTTCAGCTGTCCTTAGTGCCTTAAAGGCATTAAGTTTCCATGGTAATTAAGGTTTGGGGGATTTACTTGAGAATGTTAACCAGGGACCTTCGGTAACTTTATTTCACTAGCTGATTCAAGTATCAGAGATTGCAAGGGTATCTCTAAAAGTCACTAGCAGAGATTTTTGTCACTGCAGTTAGCAGAGCTAATAGGAGTTCTAAGTTATTTGTAGTTCCAGTTTGCAATGGTGCTTTTCTTGGAATCATTGCGGAGTGATGTGCAGCTGAGTTGTGTGAAGCTTGCTGAGCACTTGCATGTGGGAAAAACACATTATCTTTCTCCCTCCCAGCAAAAGGGAAGACAATCTAATACTATTCAAAGACTTTTCTTCCAAGGACTCACAGGAACAAAATAATGATACACAATAGTACAAGAACTTCCAAGGGCAAGGGAGGGGCAATGAAAAGACACCAGAAGCACATTGTGGACTTGGTAAAAATATGATCAGTAACAAAGTATAACTTCAATAGAAGGCCCAACTAATAAATGCATGCATAGTATTAGTTTAATTTCCTTCTAGAGAAGGTTCCAGGGTCTTTTGCTTATTTTAGCTATGAACTCAGTTCTGTGCAAATAACATTTTAACCAGGATACTCTTTTTTTTTTTTTTTTTTTTTTTTTTTTTTTTTAACAACCAATGTAGCATTGACAGGAACCCATCTTTTAGAAGAAGCTGTTTGGTTAAAAAAATACACACACCCCCAAACAACACCAACATCAACAATACAAACCCAAACAAAACACCAGTAGCTTTGATTTGTGTAAACCAACAAGTAAGTTCTCCAGTGGAGAGTGGTGAATGAAAACATTTATTCCATGTCAGCACCAAGGAATTCTGGAGGAAACCTTTCTGTAAATTACCACTGACCCAGCTGCACTAGTCAAAGCATCATTTTGAGTTGTATCAATATAGTACTGGGGCTTTTTGCTGTTCTGTCATTCTAAACAATTGAAAAATATTTTGTGATTAAGGTTAAAGGACAAACTCCATATGGGGAAAGGAAGGAGGTGAAAGTAAGGTGCCTCTGGACTCAAGAGAGAACTGTTTTGAGTTTTTGTTTTTTGTTGTTTGTTTGTTTTATTTTAGATAATGTAATAACCAACATTTTGCTATTTTCCTGGTTTGTTTTTCTTAATTTCATTACCTGAAGGTAGAGAGGACATACTACTTGTCTTCAAGATACATTATACTGAACAAAATTCCCCAGAAAATGCAGTGCTCCACACCAAATTGTTGTCTATGTTGGAAGAGAGGTGTGCCCCACAGTCTTCTTTCTTTACTCCTACGGAATACTGTTCTTCACTTGAAAAATAAAAAAAAACCAACCTGCTGTATATGTTTTTAAAATTGATTAATTTTGACTGTAGTTATATTGCCTTGTTAATATGGCAAAGCAATTCCTCTTGGAATCAGTGTGCCAGAATTCTTTGTGGTTGCTGTTAAAACAGGTAACCATCAATTGGTAATAGTAATTTGAAGATCACAAGATTCATGAGCACAGTTTCTGTAAAGTATTGTCTCAGTTTTAAAAATTCTTGGCATGTTAGAGTAGCAGACAAGGGAGAAGTGACTGATTTTCTCTAGGACAAAATCCCCTAAGTTACACAGTTGGAAATAGTGTTATGCACCTAAAACTGGTGAGGAGAGAGGAAATCCAAGGAACACGTCACAACAAAACAGAAGTAAGAAGTGAGGTGGCTCAGGGTTCCCTCAAGGGTTAGCTCTGCGGAGGTCCACGTTTATGGCCGTCAAAGTCTTCTGCAGGTTTCCTAGGCCCTCTGAACTTCCTGTTGCTGGTGCAGAATATATTGGGACTGTTTAAGTTCGTGCTACGTACTGGTAGTCAAGCTAAGTGAGAGAGGCTCATACCTTTAAACAGCACAAGGCGACGCGAAGCAGAAATACGAGTTGGGGCCTTGCCGTGCAGTTGCCCGTTGTGGCAGCGGGTTGTCCCGCGTTCGGCTGCCCGGGAGGGGTGGCCAAGCAGGGGCAGGCTGCCGAACTAAGGCAAGGGTGCTCTTCTTATTCTTGCAATCAGAGTTAGCTCTCCTGTCCCTTCATGGTGCTGTGTGAATAATGAAGTTGTACCCCAAAGGCCTGTTTTTTGTTACACCTGTAAGCACCTCAGCCTTGAGCCTGCAGAGCAGTTAGTGCAGCTTTGATCACGTCTGAGCCTTACCAGGCCCCTCAAAATAGACCTTCTTCACACTCTCCGGCAGGCATTCTCAAGGACTAACAGCACTGACTGCGTAGCAAAGTTAGTGATAGTAGCTTTCCTTAACTGGTAGTTCAAAAGTTAAAGTATTCACACTTCCCAGCCTCTGGAGATTGAGAATAACAGCTTTCCTTCCAATGGAACAATCAAACCATAAGCCTGCAGGTTTTTCAGAGATGACAGCTGTCTTCATTATTCCAACTGAAGCTATTACTGCATGCAACATATGATATAGAAAATGCTAGACCACATAGTTAGCGGCTGGGGCACTCTCATCCTGAAGGGAAGGATTATTGGATTCCTGGCGAGGTCTCGATATTTTCCCTGTAGTTTACTTTAAAAAGTTACACAGCAAAGCAGAAACAAGCTGTAGAGAATGGACTGTAACCAGGTTCAGTCTCTAGGTGTGCGCACTCATCAATGGGCTAAAAAGTCCGGTTTCTTTTACGCTCCTGATCTGGTGCTCTGTTGGGCTTTTTGCACAGTGAAGAAAGGGTAACGTGGTCTCACCAGGGTGGAATATTCAGAGAGTGGTAGGAGACACTACGTGTGGCAGGGGAATCAGTGTTCGAGCCCACATCTCTCACTGAGCAAAGTGTTGAACATGGGCCCACCACAATATGCTGTTGTATGAAAGATGGACATGTATACCATCACTTTTTGAGAGAAAGCCTGTATGGTATTTCATAGAGAGCCTAGGCCTGTGATCTGGGATCTCTCCTGTAGAAAAGCCTCTTGTTCATCCAGCTGGGCATAAGCACAAGATAAATGCTAAACTGCTTAGCTTTTTCTGGGCTGTTCCCAGACTTGGGCATACCCAGAGCTGTTTCTCCAGGGGAGCATTACATAGGGGAGCAAAGTAAAATTACAGGGTGCCTATGCAGGAACTGCGTGGGTAGCTTTCAAGATCATCTGTTTGGGACTTACAGGCTTGCATTCCTTAGTGGATCTTGTTTACAGTCTCTAATTTCAGTATTTTCAGTCACCTGGGGCAATCTCTCTAATGGATAAAATGGAGATCATGCTCAATAAAGTTGGGTGTTATTTAACATTTCAGGATGAGCACTAGATCTTACTATGTGCTCCCAATGTCTGGCCTCATCCCATAACACAAAAATCAATTATTTTAATATGCTTTTCTGGGTTACTCTTCTTTACAGTATCTGAGCAGTGTACAAACATTAAAGTACTTACTGGAAAGAAGGTAGTATGTCCATTATACAGATGGGAAAATTAAACAAGTTTTTCAAAACAAAATTTATCAAATGTGTCTATCAATTTAGAATGCCTAGAGTAACACATCCAAAGCTGGATATTTTGTGACTATTTAGCACCATATGATCAAACCACAACTATGTTCAATTAGGTTCACAATTAACTTCACCATGCTCAGGATCATTCCAGATACCAGATTCCAGATATCTCAAGTTCAGCACCCAGCAAATGAGGAATGCAGACTTAGTGTCTGTCCCTAAAATGAAATTAAAGTTTGTTGTACTATGGGTGAAGAAGGAGACCAAATGAAAATCGTAGTCAGTTTTCATTCTGTCATGCCCTTGCTTTGAGAGTTTCTTTACAATCTTTGTGCTTATTATAGCTTTTGTGTAAAAAGTCCTGTGTTTAAGAAAGCCAGCAGTGGTAAAAAAAACAAGCACAGGCCCCTCTGAATAGCAGCTTTATCTTCCAGAGTAGTGGCACCCCCTCACACAGTAGGTATCACACCAGAACTTGCTGAAAGTACACTCTGTTACGTCCTCTGGGTCATTAATAAGCACATTAAGAGTTCTGGCCCCTGTATGGGTCCCTGAGGAACACCACTAGTAACCAGCCACGTTTTTGGTGGATTTTGCACTGCTGATCAATACTTGTTGTGCTCTACAGCCCAGCCAATTAACCATCCAGCTGGTGGTACATTTTTCCACTCCATATTTCACCAATTTGACTGTAAGGGTGCTGTGGGAGACCATGTTGAAGGCCTCCCTAAAGTCAAGGTAAGCAGCATGCGCTGCTTTTCCTCCTCTGCTGAGCCAGTCTTCCCACAGAAGGTTCGCTCTTGGTAAAACCACATTACACCAGCTGTTCTCAGTCATCTCTGTGTCCTTCAGGTGCTTGGAAATGTCCTTCAGGAGTATTTGCTCCACAATCATCCTGAGGACGGAGGTGAAGCTGACAGACCTGTAGTTCCATGGTTTTTCCATCCTGCCCTTCTTGAAGTTGCAGCAATTCAGCTTAGCGTAACCCTCTTGCTATACCATGCAAAGAGCAGTGATTACTGATGCATTTAATGGTCTGTGTTTAATATCTCAGAACATCTATGTATGTGTGTGTGAGAAAGAAGAAACAAAACT